TATATAATAGCTACAGAGGACTTAATTCCAGGTATTGTATTTGGCCTATTAAATTAAAACCTCATAACCACCCTATAAAATGTACTCTATTACTCTCTGAATTTTACAAGATAAATAAAGACTTCGATTAAATAACTTGCCCTAAATTGCACAAGTAGTAAGTTTTAAAACCAAGATTTGTACTGAGTCTGGTGTGAGACTCCGTGATTTTAACAACTTATAATAGTTCAAATAGGAAATTTTAAATATTCATTAATTAACATGAACTGAATTCAGAAATAGTTTTCTTCAAAACTAGCCTAAAAAGTCAGACTATGGGAAAACCCTTCAGTGCATTGAAAAACATTAAGTATAGTACAAAAAATAAGATAATACGTTAATCTTATTTGCTCTTCACTTTGTTCTTTCTGTTTATCTGCCTGTATGTTTATATTATGGTATCCATGGTTCAAAAAACCTTCAATAATTTGCAATCATCAATAAACTTAATAAAATCATGCCTAATTGATTAAGATGGGATTCAAGGCTATTCATAAAGTAGGTTCAACTTCTCATTCCAGATCTATCATCTGCTGCCCCTTTTTACAAATATCCCTCTCCTGATGATCTAGAAAAGTAATCACCTCTATAAAGTTTCCAAATTTTCCACCTAGAATTTATTTATTCCTTGTCTGTGTTGATTTGGAACTAGATATGTTTTCCTGAATTTACCATTTTACTGCTTTATACTGTCATATAGCTATACGAATTAACTAGCTGGCTTGAAGATAAATTTAAAAACAAAGAATGTATCTTTCTGTTATCCCCTATAGCTCATTATTCTGTAGAAACTGTAAAAACAAATGATAGCAAATATATTTGATTTTGAAATATAAGTAATATTTAGTCAAACCAAAAATGTTAATGCACCCATTGAGTTAGTAATAATTCTTAGTGATGACCAAACTAATGAAACTACTTTTTAAATTAAAAAACATATTCAATGACATGGAAGCATAGATGAGACTTACGAATGTCAGAGGGATGGAGGAGGGCGGGTGGGTGGAGGGGGAGAGAGTAACCAAAGAATTTATGTGCATATATGCACAACCCAAGGACACGGACAATGGTGGGGAGAGGGACTGGGGAGGGGGAAGGTACAGGGTGGAATGGGTCACTGGGGAGAAAAAGGGACATCTGTAATATTTTAAACAATAATAAAATTTAAAAATAATAATAAAAAATAAATCTGGGTACCAGAAATCCTTAAAAAACAAAAACAAAAACAAAAAACATAATTTTCTCTTTAATATGATTTTTGGAATTGTTTTGGTTAATACTTATTTCAATAAAAATAAATATTTTAGAGAAAAATCATTTGAAATATAATTTAATCCAATTTATTCCATTAAAAACGAATGACTCTAATTATACAGATGTTTAGTTCAGTTCTATCCCGGACCCAGAGTCACCTAATTGTAGTTAAATGAATGAACAATAGGTTGAATTACAAATTGATCAATTCAATGAGGCCAATAAGAAAACTGAAATAAAAATTCTAACATAAGGGCCATTTACTTTATTCAACTTCATGTCAAAAGCAAATTCATATTTCAGCAATTCAGTCTACTACTTGGCTCTCAGGAGTGATGAGAACTGAGTAAAGGGGACCTGACCATCTCAACAGCCATGTTAACACCTCACCCATTCTCCACCACATACAGTAAGATCTTTTAAAGCACCTCAACCCTTAGCGTTTTGTTATCAATATTTCAAAAAAAATTATTTACACTTCAATACTAACTTCAGGTGCTAAAAATGTACAAGTCCTCCTAAGCAAAAAATCAACTTCTGTCTTAAAACGTTAATCAAAAAATTAAGTTACCAATTTCCTACCATTGAATGAAACAATTATTCATTTAATCTGGAAAGTATAATATGGGGAAATCTCTTAAAATCTTCTAACTTATTTTGAACACAATACACCATTCCCCCACTCCCATCTCAGTGGAAACTGCCTCTGCTTACTTTCTGTTGACCCTGAACTCCAGCCCCCCCTCCTAGACCACACATTTGTGTTTCCAAGACCTGCCCTAAACTCTCCACCCATCTTCATTTCTGAATCCCGTGATATCACTTACGTAGCAACTTTTGGTCGTCTTTTAAGGATTCATGCCACACCTTCTACCTTACCTTCCTTTCTGCCCTTTATTTTCCTTACTTGTCTCCCTTCAACCCTTCCTGCGCCCTATGATCCAGTTAAACCAAATGTGTGCAGCTGCTACAAAGGCTTTTATTTCTCTTTCCTCTATGCTTTGCTTATAAACGCTTTTTTTTTTCCTGGTGCCTACTTCTCTTTGCCTAGCTACTACTTGTTGTTCAAGACTGGCACACCGGTGCTTTCCTCTTACGCACCATATGGCGCTCCCTGCTTTATACTTTCACAGCAAGGTTCAAGTGCTGCTCTATCTGTGTCCCCCACGAGACTGCAGCCGCTTTAGGGGACAGTCTTCCAACTTTGTCCTCCTAGCAACCAGCATGATGGCAGGTGTATAGGATTCACTTAAAAGTTGTTGAAGAAAGTACTGATTTATTTAGTGAATAAACTAAAACTGCTTGTGGAAAGATAGCATTTTGAAACGGCTATTTGATTTTTTAAATCTGAATTTAATGGATCTCAATTACTTGGTAATATTAAATACCTGTTATATAAAAGCGACAACCTGAAATGTATTTCACATAACCTTGAATAAGTACAATAACATATATATTATTTTGAAGTAGATAACTGCCTAGACACACAGATGTACAAATTTGAATACCCTCTATACGAACTGTGGTTAAAACAAGTGTTGGACAAAGTTGCAAGACTTGTAATTAGCATTTATGTGTTAAACTAAGGCAATATAGGTAAATTTCTCACTTAACAAGGTACTTAAATGACCATGGAAGAATGTATATTTTAAAGAGTGGTAACAATTCAGGTTCCACTTTAATGCTTCTAAATCATGTTGATAATATGATAGGTTTCTGTTTTAATTGACTTTATTGTAATGGATTAAATAAGTGTTAAAGAATGAGCAATGTATGTATGTAATTTATTACTCCATCAATCTGGTGCTTACTCAAATTGGAAAGTGGAAATCGATTCAGAAAGAATATTCATGATTTTAAAAATGAGAGAACCATAGTGGCAATTAAGAGAAGCTTGTACTTGTGGATCTGTGTATTTGACCTCTAAACCAACTTACAAACTTCAGAATAAATGGGACAAACACATGTTCCTTCAGCAGCCCCTTTATGTGATCAATAGCGAATGAGACAAGCTTAATCAAGTACAACAATAACATGTGTGTGGGTGTGAATGTGAGGGGGGTGTTTATTGCCTCAGCTCATAATTCCTTTCTAAAGTTAATATCATTCAAATAGAACTTGGAGCAAAGTTTTCATTAAATGTAATGAATTAAAATTTTTTCAGTTTCCATTCAGGTAAGAAAAACCCAGACACCTCCAAAGTGTACCAACATATTCTTGATTTAGCCAAATTAACAATATGCAATTTGTCTTTAAATAAATCTCCATGGATTACAATGCAAACCTGTTTTTACAAGGTGAACAAATAAAGTTAAGTAGTGATTTGGTGATAATGTCTCTGTGTCTTTCAAAACTTTTCATTTCAAATTTAATATTTAATTAGTTCAACTTTATCCCTTAATACCACAGAGAAATAACCTCTCCATCATATTAAGATAGTCAAACATATTCCTGCCAATTTTCTATGTAGTGTACCTAAGCATCCCATGTGATAGACCTAACAGATGCATTATTCAGGTTATGTGAATATGAATATTTAAAATTTCTGTGTATCTAATGGATGCCTAAATAAATGTGTGTACGTTTTTGGAATAAATGCTAAATTTGCATCTTTCACTGCCTGGCCAATGGAAGGTAACAGTGTTGCTGGTGGTCACTGACACATTTACGTCAGTCTCTCTGTCCCCAATGGTGGAAAGACTACACAAAAGAATTAAAAGGGGTTTTAGACATGTCCTTATTAAAGTACCTGGAAACATTCAATTGAATCACCAGCTTGCCTTTGGAATAGCAGGAATGTGACCTCCACATAGCTGAAAGATTTGTGATAACGACATATAGAGACCAGAGATGAAGGCCAATGTCAATGCTTTGAGAGGGTGTCCATCGCGGTGTCTCAAGTGTGTGGCTTTTTGGCAATTCTCACAAGTAAGTCCAAGTAAACCTTACAAGTGAGACTAAATGAGAAAGCATATATCACACAGATATCAAATAGTAGCACTTATTGGAAGAGACAAGATCCTAGGGGATATCCAACCCAATCTCTGATTATTCTGGAGAGGAAAATGAGCCCAGAGTCTTAGAGATTTGCCAGAGAAGAGAAAGAGAGGTAAGAGATGGAGAGAAGCAATTTTCCTTATCATAACATCAGTCGCTCTTCATTGGAATTGTGGATTGTCCACGTTCACCCAGAACTCTAGTCAGCCAGGCTCTGTGTCAGTCTCAGTCATCCCATATCCCTAGTACTTAGCACAGCGCTTCTCAACGAGTGGATGAATGCCTGAGTAAGTGCTTCATATGGACTTGGGGAAGGCTCTGAACCTCACAGCATCACCTTCATCTTTAGAAAATGTTATCGGAGGAACATGATATAATACATAGAAAATGCTTAGCAGCAGGCTTTGCACAAACACTCATATATTAACAGAACGAGTGAGTGAATGAATGAATGAATGAATGGGACCAAATATAAGGAAAATATCTGTTTCTCTGGAAACTGCATCTACAAGACATGGACAAGTAAGAAAAGCTTTTGGCATACCTTCATCTAATGGCTCAGAGAAAAAGGGAAAGGAAAAATATAAACCAAAACCCGAGGAAACAATAAGAAACTTAAAACAAATGCAAACTATTTGTTAAAGAAAAACTGTCTGTCTAAACGACTGTAGAGAATGTAAGCCTGGGGAGCCTGAAGAGCGCTGCGGCACCTGATAAAATCCTGACTTCGGCCTCGTTTCCCGTTCTCGAGCTGGCCGGGTTGCGGGCTAAGCACCGGTAGATCCCCGCGTCCCCAGGCTGAAGCCTGCTGATCTGCAGGGCGCCCGAGGGCAAGGCCACCACTCGGGAGTCGCCCAGGGCTGGGGTCAGGTCTTGCTGGTTTTTCTGCCAGTGTATCGTTGGCATGGGCTCCCCGATGACTTCGCACTTGAGCAGCACCGTGTCTCCCATGAAGGCCGTGACAGATTCTGTCTGGGAGAGAAACCTCAGTGGTCCTGTGGGAAACACAAAGAAGGAAGGATACATCTTTCAGAGGAGGCACGACAGTCACTGGTAAAAATGATCACATTTGTATTCTTTATAGAAAGTGTATTTTACAAGGTATTTTCTCATATTTCATCTCACTTGCTTTTCTCATTTTACCACAGTATGTGTCTGGTACTACAGTAGATTCTGGGGCTAAAATATGATACGATGTTGCCATTATTATCTAGAAGTCTACTGTTTTGTTATGATTGATTAATAAAGCAGCCTTGCAAAATAAACAGAGCACACAAGATCATCCTAAGTTTACACACTAGGAAACGGAGGCTCAGAATTGTGAAATTCCACAAACAAGTTCACAGTTATTACATGGCAATCCTGCAAATGAGACCTGGTTCTTCTCAATCCTGGTCCTACGCTCATCCTGTTATCGCACTTTGAACAAAGAACTATGAAATTAGGGGATTATGATGGACTGGCCCCATGGCATAACCCAGGGAAGTTTCAAGAAAAATGAGTGATATTAACCAACAAATATAGTAACAGCGAACAATCTTTTATGGGTACTGCTTAAAGCATTGTATTTGTCCAGTTGTGGTTGTGATATAGTGAAACAATGCTAAAGCTGGAATTAGAATAGCTTGGGTTTCTAGCCTGGCTGAAGAACTCTATGTGAGTTCTTTGGTGACTTGTTTCATTTCTATGGGCTATTGCAGTGTAAACTCAAAGAATTGGTTTTTCCTTTTTGTAATGCAAGTGCCTGGACCTGTAATTAATAATTAATTTTTTTTTTTTCCTTCAGAGATTTCTTACAATCATAGGACCCACAAGGGCTGGTCTAGCCACAACCTTGGTTATCCATAAGCTGGGACCACCACAAAACAGATAAAAATGCGGTAAGAGCTAACTCAACTTACATGACCACTACGATGAAGGGGAAAGACAAAAGACAATAAACAACAAACAAAGTAGCCATCACTGAGCATAAGCATGGTGATGAAGAAGCCTTCTCCATGGTGATGTTGTACCAGAGAAGTGCAGACGATACTGTAATCCTGCCCTCTGAAACCCCTTTTTTTGAACAGGTGGATAATTGTGACCCTAAGGCTTTGACCATAAAAATTATTTATTATTACAAACATACATTATTGCATGAATTATGCCATTGCTGATAGATATGCTTTCTTTTTAGAGTTAATTAAATAATTCTAATTCATTGATTCAGGTGCTACTCATCACAGTTATATTGTAATATTTCTATTTTCATTTTAACCTTACTAGATTTCTTTTTATTGTATGTGCATTTCACAACAAACTTTGATTCATTTACCAGTTTGGGGTTCATATCAAGTTCTTCTGATCATATTTTATCTTACTGTGATTTTTATTTTATAGATTTATTTTAACTAACTCAAAATTTCCTAGGTTCAGTTTTAAACTTAATTTGGTCAATATTTTGTCAATAACAAATTCTATTGGGCTGTGTTAAATACTGTTAGTTTTATTTTTTAAATTTGTCTTTATTATTGAAAGTATTACAAATGTCC